GAAGTTCCCAGGCTTCATGTTTGCAGTATATATAGTTTTTCTTTTAATATTTTGGCTACAGTATGAGGATATTATCTATATTGCAATCTCATGACAAATGTTCGTTTCTTGCAATTGTATGTGCTTAGATAATTGTAACCCATTCTTGCATTCTTTCTCAGGTTGAAGAACTATTATTAGAAGATTCTCGGATAGATCAATATCCAAAGTTAGTCAAGGGGGAGTCAAAGGTGGTGTTGGAATGGCAAGGTATACTCCCTCTTTTAGAACTTTTCTCTAGTTTCATTGACAACACTGGCATGCTTAAAACATGTATTTTGTTGATAATTAGAACAATGCAGGAATATTTTATCTTATGTAAGCTCTTTCAAGAGAAAAGCAGTTTGGTATCAAGTTCTGCTGCCGATTTCTTACTCTCCCTTGATATTCTGCTTGTTATTCCTCAGTTTGTCTCCTAAGTGAATGAATGCTGAACCCAGTTGATAACAATTCCTTGGGAAATGCAGCTTAATGCAAACCAGTTTAAATTTGAGTTGTAACAAGATCTGTTTCTATCAGTCTTTAGTCAGAATATATCGAGGTTTGCACAGATGCTAATATTAGTTTTTAGTTGGGCCATGTGCTGAGTTTATTAGAGAATTTGGCTCAATTAGTCTTCAGTTGGACCACCATGATCTTTGCACAGATATATGGTTACATGTATCTACACATACAGGTACATTCATACAAATACATATGTTCCAAATAATGCCAAAGAGTCATGCAGATTACTTGCTGTCAATACACACCCTTTCAAAATCACATAAAAGCTAGTGGTCCACACCCTATATTTATTACAACCATCTTAATTCCCATGTTCCGTCTCACAATTAGCATTTTATGTTCAATCTCGTCATGTATGACTATCCAGACAAAATTTTGCCCTTTCTTCCGTAAATCTACATAAATTCTAACCTTGATTTACTGAATGTGGATTGCAGATATTCTTTCACATGCTTCTTTTTATTTATCTAAACTAAAACTTATAACCTTTTAGTTAAACAAATCAATGCAAAATTAGTTCTTCTTGGGAAAGATTGATATAGAGAAATGATATTCTCAATTTAGACGAAAGATAGGAAATCATACTACGGACTTTGTTGAGAAAGTGCTGACTAAATGAGGACAACTTAAAAAAAGGGATTAGGTGCAAAAAGGCCTGCATCATCAACGTCTAGGATGCTCTTAGAATATGTGGCTACAGCCTACATTTATTATTGTTGTTCGAGTATTAATAATACATATTGTGCCTTTTTATTTTCTTTCTGTGCATTAATGGAGACAATCTGTATGCAATTTATTTTTTCTTTCTTCTTGTTTTTTTTTTAAACCGGTGTATTAACTGGTGCGGGTTATTCTCGGCAGTTGATAGTTCTCTGAGTTCGAAAATGCGGCAAAAACGCGCATTAAGCAAGACCAAGCCTGAGAAGCACGTGGATATATCTTCTAGTTATCAGAAGCGGGAATCTACTGTAAATGCATCCTTAAATTCTTGAAAACATGGCACTGTATAGTCCAGTCTCATACTACGTACTCCCTCTGAAAGTGCTGTAATGTAGAAATGACGTTGTATTTTAAGTGTTTGCGATACAAATGTAGCGTTTGAGTAAATCACCTACTTGAAATGTTATGGCAAATTCCATGACTCCTGATGTGATACTGCGGAATGTTTATGATCAGTTTTGGCTGTTTATTCTTTATTTTAGGAAGTAAAATATTCAGTTGAACCTTCATAAAATGTTGGCAAAATGCAGTGTATGCCAGAAAATCTATAAATATATGGATGAACATGAAAATGGTTCGTCTAACTAGAAATATTATTAATCTAACAATAAAATAAATTAAAGTACTTTACTTATAAAATGTCGCAATGCATTCTTATTAGAGCAAATAAGTTTGTGGAACTTACCGTTGTTGCTGTTGTAATTGTTATACTCTCTTTCGTTTGTATATGCAGTTTCATTCACTTGGAAGGAATGGGCGGTAGATGGACGATAAAAACCCAAGTTTTATTAGACAAATGATCTTCAAGAATAACAATTTCGAAGTTTCTGTTTCTCAATAAAGGCAAATGTATAAAACAGAAAAAATAATAAAATGAGAAAGTTAGATGAGATTCTTATTGTGAGGTAGTCCAATAGGCTACAAGGTACGATGATCAGTGCTAAAAATAGGATAGATCTTAAATGGTTTAAAAAATTAATTTATTATATTAGTTTGATTCATACCCTAGAAGGCTTCAAATTATGTGAAAATTTCATCATGTACATTTGACAATGTTTCGAACAAGATGTACAATTCTAATCATGGACTAGTCTAATTCCCGATAAGATTTGGTCACCAACTCACAACATCGTTACTTTATAGGACAAATTTTCAAAACAGACCCTTTTGGGTTTTTTTTTGCAAAAAACGACCGGTTTTGAAAAAATTTACAAAAACCGACCTGTTTTCAGAACAGCGTTGAAAACAGGTCGGTTTTTGTAAAAAAATTTCCGAAACTTCACGGGAGTTCAACTCCCGTGAAGTTTAGTGTATTTTTAAACTTCACGGGAGTTGAACTCCTATGAAGTTAACTCCCGTGAAGTTTAATTTCTTCATAAATCTTCACGGGAGTTCAACTCCCATGAAGATTTATGCACTTATGAAACAATATCGCTAGAGAGCCGCTCTCTGGGAAGTTGAGACTGCAACTTCACGGGAGTTGAACTCCCGTGAAGTTGCAGGTTATACAAAACATGCACAGCCTGCTGTGCATGTTTTGTATACGTACCTATTAACTCATATATATATTAACTCATATATATACCAATTTATTTACAAACAACAATCACAATAATATATACATGATTCAACCATGAATTAAACATGCACGATTATGTATATGAACAATAATTGATCTTCAAAAGTTTAGTATTTGAAAATTCAGGAAAGTTACAAATTTTAACAAAATAAGTTCAAATACAACCCAATATAGCTCCCCTCCTTCCTCTCCCTCTCTTCCCCCTCCCCCTCGCTCTTCCCCGCCCCTTGGGTTCCTACTGATGAGCCTCAACTATCTGAGTATCCGGCTGTGTATGAAGCTGTGAAGTGCCGGCTCCATCGGCATGCGAAGTGCCGGCGTCATCATCACGTGGCCGTCGACGTCGAGTGTACGCCTGCCCAAATGAGTGAGACCTGTCCTCACGGCCTGCGAACTCATCGACATGAGTCTTATGAAACACCTGCGCTATGCTCTTCTTGATCCTGCTGATGAGCCCTAACGCCACCTGATCCTGAATCTCAGTCACGTGCGCATCAATATCAGCATCAATGCTATCTAAAACACGGATCTGTGAGGTAAACAATTTATTAAGTACCAACTCAATAAAAAATGTTATAATTTAGCTTAGAAACTTATTTAATCTCTCTCGTTCATCCCACTAGGGATGTAACTATCTGTTGGTGGGTGTGGTATGTGTCCAGCTGACGGCTGTGGGTCACGCGTGATCCATCTACGTGTGATACCCTAATACCAACTCATATATGCGGTATAGTCAACAGTTGTGGGCCTCGTATCCTGTATGAAATCTCACCTGTGAACCCACCTGTCTATGTAGGTCGCACGGACTACGGCCCAGTCAGTACGGTGCGATGTAGGGTGCCACCAACGATCGATCTGCTCGACAGGATCTGGAATATGCTGAGAGAGCGTAAACTACCGTAGCACACTGTCCGGGACATGCATCTCTAATCGAGAATTGCTACAAGTGTGGAGTCCATTATATGTCGTGATTTTGAATTGCCTGCCTACTCTTACACCCGAGCGTGAATTAAGCTTCCACGGACACCTCGCATTGCCGTCGTGGTGTCCACTATTATCTTCGACATCGTCATCTTTGCGATAGAAACAAACCACATTATAGCTTGTAGTATTATTTTTGGTTTTTTTGGTTGGCCTGAACTTCACATTTTTTGCAAGGGAATACAGTGCGAATAGCATGGATCAATTTCTCCTTACTCTCGTAAAAATCTCCCTTCATGAATAATAAGTCCTCGGCCTGTGTATCAACACCGCTATTAGTGCCAATAGGAACACTTTCAATCACGGAGTTATCAATCCATTCATCTCCTTGAAGTTCATCGGACGGCGGATCCTCTAAGACGACATACTCATTATTAGCATAATATCCGTCGATGTGTTGGTTTTCCCCGTCATCACGATCTATCAAGGTCATGCTATTAATTTGTAATCCCTTCTCTTCATCACCATTCTCGGATTCGACACTTGCATTATCTTCTTGAATTCCCGTGTTAGTATCGAAAGCATTCGAAGTGCCCACGAACGAAGGACCGCTAATGTATTGTGATTGTGTCCAACATTCATCTTGTTGAGGAGATAAAAAGCCTACGAAATCAACTTCGTGGTCCTCCAACATGCGGGAATACATTCCTTCGTAATTCAACGATTTTCCCAAATCCCTCTGACGTTTTTTAATGAACAATTCGACCGAACGCTTCTCGTCGTGTAAGACATGAATGAGACCCATATTGTAGTCACTTGATATTTGAATGCCACTTGTTCTGTTCCCCACAACAGGATAATTGTAAACCACACTGAGGTGATACTCACGTGAGTTGGTTAATGTAAGTTTGTGTAATTCATTAACCAACTCATCGAAAGTATACGATTTTGTTATGAACAACGGTCTCGTCGCGCCTCCTTCATAAACGGGCATATTATTTTCGAGGTAATTAATCTTCTCATCATAAGAACAGAGAATTACGATTCGATCGTTCATCGTTACCTCTGAAGAGTGAAAAATTCAAGATCAATATTACACGAAAAGCCGAATAAATATTGATTGTTACTAATTTTTACATTTAGGTAGTAACTCTAATTTCCACATTAATTGATAATTTCAAATTATTTAATTTTTCTTCACAAAATTCGTAAATAATTCACAATTAAATTATAAAATCTAATTTATGTCATACATATGTAGTTGTAGGCTGTCTAAAAATCATAATAGATAGCTGATCCTCATCAAACACCGATGATGGAAGTTACAATTTGACGACTTCCAGAAGGCTACAATTCGAAGACTTTCACATAGATCGCTGAAGGTTACAATCTGACGACCTACACGACAACTGATGAGAGCTCTAGTTTAATACTCATATTCTCAAGGAGCCAAGACGAAGATTACAAGACAATGATCTTTGCAACGCTTCGACAGAAAGAGACTACAAATCGACGGTCTCTTCAAACCAAGATGTGGAAATCCTCCCCGCGCACCAGCATCAAGACATACCGCGTTCATAGCCACGAACGCAGCGCAAACGCAGCTCCAAACGCTGCAAACGCAGCTCAGATCCGCTGCCAAACGCAGCACAAACGCAGCTCCATCGCTGCCCAAACGCAGCTCTTCACCGCTGCCGAACGCAGCTCCATCGCTGCTCAAACGCAGCTCCATCACTGCCCAAACGCAGCTTCCAAGCTGCCAAACGCAGCTTCCAACAAAATACTGCGTCCGAGCTTCCAGACGGTGCGTTTGAACGCAGAATTCACGCCAGAACGCGGATTTTGCATTTGACTCGTCCAAACACGAGCTGAACAGTTTCAAAACTGTTTCCCACGATCTGAGGGGATCACAACTCCACTCAGGAGTGATTTAAGGGGCGGTTATATTACATTAGCCCCACTTAGGAGCGAATTAAGGAGGTGGTTACACCCCTTAATCCCCTATAAATAAATGAAAATCAATTCAGTTCAGGGTCGGTCTTTTAGATCCTTCTCGTGGGCAGCAAAGAAGAGATCTCGGGCTGGTTTTGGGGCGGTCGGTTGGAACTTATTGGCAGCGAAAAGAGGATCCTTCATCCTTCGGTTGGAGCTTTGGAGATCGGCAACAAGATCTTCTTCATCCTTGGCTTATAACCGACTTTCGGTTAAATCAACTCTTTCATAGAGTTTTAAACTCGTTCAGAGTTCTCCACAACGTCAAATCGTGAGGAGAAGACCACGTTCCAGTGAATCAAGATAGCGAAAAGAGGATCCTTCATCCTTCGGTTGGAGCTTTGGAGATCAGCAACAAGATCTTCTTCATCCTTGGCTTATAACCGACTTTCGGTTAAATCAACTCTTTCATAGAGTTTTAAACTCGTTCAGAGTTCTCCACAACGTGAAATCGTGAGGAGAAGACTACGTTCCAGTGAAACAAGACGTCGGATCGTCAACGAGAAGCAAACTCGACGCGAGCATTCGAGGGAGGCATCTCATCGCCACCGTGAAGAACCCAGAATTAAACAAAGGAGAGAATCAAATTCATTCTCTTCTCTTTTGTAATTAGGAAATCCAATTGTAACTGAGATTAAAGGAATACAAATCAAATTTTCCTTTATAATTTTCACATTTATTGATAATTTTTCCTCTAATTTCACAAAATTATTGATAATTTCCACACTAATTCCACAAATTTTTTGCACTTCACAAATTTCGTAAATAATTCACAATTAAATTCTAAAATCTAGATTTTTACATGTAATCACAATCAAATAGTGAGAGTATACAAAAATTAGAGAGTATAAATTTTTTTAGAAAGAATTTACCTGTTTTTTAGACTGAGACTGAGATCTGACAACGATCTGACGACGCCGACGATCGGAAAGGAGATGACGGCCAAGTATGAGGAGTTACTCTCATCCGGATCCCTTAGCCCCA